ATTTTATATGGCGTTGCTAATATGGTCTTATTCTAGATTACGGATAAACAATGGGATACTATGCTGGCTGTGCACAATACGGCGCCGTTTAAGCTGGTGCGTGCTGCGGCCAAGTATTTCCGGGTGAAGGATGGCGAGCCGCGGGTGATCATTAACATCAGCAGTACGAGTGGGATTCATGGGAATGCGTATGTATTCTTTCTTTTTTTATTATTGTCTTTCTTATGGTCTTTTTTTTAAGTCACCATGGTGGTAGCTTTTTTACTGATGATATGCAGAGGCCAGGCTAACTACGCCCTCGCCAAGGCCGGAGTGGTTGGACTCACCAAGACCATCGCCAAAGAATGGGGTCCCGCGTTTGGGGTCCGGTCGAACACCATTGCCTTTGGCCATGTGCAGACCCGGCTGACGGCAGCCAAGGAGAAGGGCGCGTTCATTACCACGCCAGACGGCACCAAGGTGGCGCTGGGCATTCCCGGGAAGCAGCTGGAGTCGCGCAAGGGCGGCGCGGGCGAGCAGAAGCAGACATACCCGGATATCCCGTTGGGAAGACCGGCCTCGCCCGAGGAGGCGGCGAAGTCTGTCCTGGCCGTGGCTAGTCCCCTGTTCTCGTACGTGACGGGTGAGACGATTCGGGTTACTGGTGGCAGGAACATGTAGTGCCTTGAATTGATTAGTTATCCGGGAGTTTTATATATCCTTCACCATGAGGTTGGCACCGATGAAAGCTTTCTCGGCTAGTTCGACCCCGACGGGCGGTATATTATTCGCTGTGGATAAGTAGAGATCACGATGACGTGGATCATAATAATACATCGGTATAAGGAATAGTATATACATACATACGACTAAAGAGAAATCCATGGCCTGTGCGAGCCCGCACGAGCCCGTCAGACGCCGTCTGATAAAAATAGAAGCCGTTGAAATGACACAAGTCCTCAAGGGCCAGGGTATCTCGGTCAAAACAATCTCCGTTTCAGAATGAAGCTTCACCTGGCGGAGCTGCCTGTAAGCGCCGGACCCACCGTGAACTCAGGACTGGAACAGATAACGCATCAAGTGTCATCGCCCGCCAACGAAGAACGGTTGCAAGGGTGGCCATGCCACGCAAGCCCAGGGTGCCCTGGGCCCGCCATGTCAAACTGCAATAAGATCGGCTGCCTCTAGAGCAGGAATAAACGCACAAACAAACAAAAGTCTAAGTTCACCGCATCATAGCAGACACCTTATTTCCGGTGGATACTCAATTAAAAA